TCCTCAAGTTTGTAACCAATCAGCACTCGATCTAAAAACATCTTCCACAAACCTGAATTTCTAATGGATGCAAATCAAACGCAGGGCCATAAATCTGCCTTTAGTTGACTCCATCTTTTTTTTCTTTTTGGTTTGTTTGTTGGTTTGTTTGTGTCTCTGTGGTCATTTTGTTTCTTTTTGTAGTTGGTTCTGTCTTTGTGGTAACTTTGCAGTCGTGGGCCTCTTTTGAGTTTTTTCCTTTGTTTTTTTATGCATCTCATTTTTAGTTCTTTGTCTTTTATTGTTAGTTTGGTCTTGTTAGGGGTTTATTTGCATCTCTTTCTGGTTTTCTGGTAGTCTTCATTATTTTTTGTCTCACTCACAATATAAAAAAACCCCTTCATGACAGGCCATATGCAGGTAGAAGCTTTTCAACCAATTATGCAAAATAAAAAAAAAAAATACAGGTTCTTACATTGTTGTGACCCACTCTTCTTTAGACCATTACTTCAGTTCATTGAGGTTTACAGACATTCGTTTATACAAATCTCTGTTTAGGTTCCACCACAACTTTAGAATTAGGTCAATGTCTAGACTTTGACTGGGACATTACAACACCTTGATTCTTTTCCATTGTGTTTTGATTTCAATTTCATTTCAGTCAAGGTTCAGCTGTTGGACTGATGGTTTTAGTTCATGGTCAGCTCCATGACTGCAAGGTTCCCTGGCTGGAAGCCACAGAGCAAGCGCAAATCATTGCCTCTCCACCACTGTGCTTGGTAGTTGGTATGACGAGTGTGTTTAGTGCCAAATGTGGCTCCGTCCAGTATGGTCAGACATCGCCACTGTGATTTTATCTGTCCAAAGGACCTTCTTCCAGAAGACTTGGGACTTGTTCATATGCAACTTTATCGACCTAAGCTGTGCTGTGTTCTTTTTAGAGAAAATACACTTTTAACAACACTTTAAAGCAAGCCTTGTTTGTTCATTCTTTTTCTAATTGTACTGAAATTTTAAATTTAGCACGTTAACTGATGTCTATAGGCTCTGAGATGTAGCTCTTTGGTTTTCTCTAATTTCTCTGATCATTGTATGGTTTGATGTTGGGCGAATTTGCTGGGTTGTCTTCATCTGGAAAGACTGCAACATTGTGTTACCACACATCTGAATGCCCAGGACAGGCAACCTACCAAAGCCTTTGCTTTTATAAAGGATTCTATAGATGTTATAGAGGTCACAATTGCTGACCACCAATTAATCAAGTGTAACTTATACAACTTATATGTAACTTACCCTCTTAATTCTTAGCGGAGTAGTAAAGGCATACTTAGTTTTTCACAGGACTGCAGAGTGTCCTGTGCTCCTGTAATCAGAGTAATTTTGGTAGACCGGCCACTTCTGGTAAGGTTCACCACTGTTCCAAGTTTTATCCATTTAAGGATAATTACATGTTTCTCATTTATTCTTGAGTTTCTTTAGATCTGGGCATGAATATTGTTTCACTGTAATTGTACTCTGGTACCCAAAAAACATTATAGCACTGTGAGTGGATTACAAAACCTGTTCAAACTCAAACAGCCAAGTTGGGTGAATAGATAGGGCACAGGATGGTACCAACACCACACCATGCCCAATATGATTGGGCCCCCGTCGTGTGCCCTTACTAATAAAACATTTGGTAGAGTGTTGTCACTCTTGCTATGCAAGACCAGTTTTAGTCCTACCTTAGCCCTTGCACTGTTATGCTGCTTCCTATTTCTGGTATCCTATATTTTGGTTACAAATATTGTACTCCTCATTTTAAAGCTTTAATGACAACTTTTTAAAATATATTGACCACTATAGTAGCCAGTTCAAGTGGTTTAAAGAATCTTTATCTGTAACATTACAGACTCAGTTCAGTCCACTAATTGTGATTCAATAATGTTAACTACTCTTTATAATAAATATTTGCATTAGGTCTAAAGACTGTCACTACAAAGATTTTCATGCCAAAATTATAATTATCCAAAAAATTCTCAATTATATTACAGGAATATCTAAAACAGACAAAGGCCATGAAGGAACAGTAGCCTATATGTTGGGAATGCAAATGTACATTCACAAATTTGTTACTACTTGACTCAATAGCAATGTCAAATGATTTTCTAGGCACTGAATCTTTTTTCCATCGCAGAAAAATTTATATGGCCTAAAATATTTAAAGAAACACAAAGATGTAGTCTTCTATTAGTGTTCACAAAATAAAGAAATACATCATTCACTATCATCACAGCTCCCGAGACCGTGAAGTAATTTAGACATGTGGCTGATGGCACTTAAAAAAATGAAAGGAAAAAAAAATTACACATGGCAGCCAAACCAAGGACATAAGATCAAACCTGATAACGCAACAAAGCTCATTTTCCTCAAAGATCCTAATTGATTGGTTGATTATGCTTTTTCTGTTCCTCCATCTCGGTGGGTCTTCTTTAATAGCTCCATAATGACGCTACGGAACTGGACGTGTAAGCCTCAGCCAATTAAACTAGTAATAGGCTCTAATTAACTAAAAAAAAAAGGATTTTCAATAAAATAGGAGGAGATAGCGAATTTGATTACTCATATTCATTAACTTTTTCCCCCTCCCTTCCCTTCTGCCATCCCTGGAACTTTGCTCCCTTCATTTTTATGAATATTTTATCTTGTGTGAAGCATTACAATACATGCTGTCCCTGGCAAAGGCCAAAGCCGTAACAGCAGAAAGCCTTTCTTCTGCTCTCATTCAAAGAGCCTTCCTTTGTTTCTGCATAATGAACAAGTTGCTGATGGTGGCAGAATAAATTTTAATTAGACTTTTAAGGAGGAGACTTGGAAGGATGATAGGTTGTTTTAAATCAAAACTTGACAGTGTGAAGGCTTTTTAGGAATAACCCAAAGTTAGTTGATGAAATATGCTTGCAAGTGGAGGCATATTTCATCGACATCGTCCGTATGTGTGTGTGTGTGTGTGTGTGTGTGTGTGTGTGTGTGTGCGTGTGTGACAGAGATGTGTTGTGCCAGCAGGTGTCTGTAACGGCACATCAATAATTTGCAGCAATTCTAACCAACTCCCTCCTTCTCCTCCTCGTTTCTGCTTCTTTCTCCACTCCATTCACTCTCTGTCTTTCTTGCCTCAGGTCAAGTTAGCAACACTTAAGGACTACAACACTGTGCCCGATCACCATATGTTGTCTTTGTGAGTGTGTGTACCTACCTGTTTTGCTTGTTCCCTTACCTGATGCCTGCCGTCGCTTGCAGCCAAAGCATGTCAGCTTTTGAGAGACAAAAACAAAAACAGAGGCGAGCAGAGTAGGGGACACCAGGTACACCAACATGTGTGTGTGTATTACTGTGTGCGTGCATCCTGCAGGCTGCTTCGCCATGAGACAGGGCCATATGGTCACCCCAGGCAAAGCAGGTTGGGCCTGTTTACCTGCCTCACTCTGGGTCATGTCAGTTTCGTTTTCAGCGTAGCCGCAACGCGGCTCAAGCACCGCTGCCAAAAACACCACATTTAACTGCCCTCCTCCTCCTCTTCTCTCTCTTCTTTCCATCTTTTCTCTCTACTTTTGCAGTGTCTTCACAGGGCTTGATCTTTTTCAGATTTACAGAGCAACAGACTAACATTTTTTAATCAATTAATAAAATTATGTTTGTTTGTTTTTAATTATTGTGTAACATCAAAACATGTAAATCTGCAGGTGCTTCTTCTGACTACCCGTCCAAATCCCAAAATGTCTAATCGTTTGAGAATGCAAAGGAGAAATAGGAACCAAGGAATGCTGAAAATGTCTGGAATCTTTTTTTCACCAATAACTTTCTTGTATTAAATATTAGGAACATTGTTACAGTGTGATTGGCAGCATAAAAGATGAAACATTCTGAGAGGAGGTCATAACGACATCCGTGATGATTACCTCAAAAGAGGTTCCTCAAGAAACTTGAGTTGGTTTTAGTTGAATGAAAAATGTAACAATAAAAAAAATGGCCATTAATAAATAAAAATGGGGAGAAATATGATAATTTGCTGCTTCGCCTTCTTTTGTTTTTAAAAAAGATGAATTGCATGATAGAGAATACCAAAGGAAAAGAGATTTACTTTCTTGTTAAATGCACGTTATGCAACTTAAAGATCTTGTTATATGTTATATTTGAAATATAACAGATATTGTTTGTTTATTTAAGAACTTTAAGAGATTGACACATATCACACTCTTGTGATACACCGCACAGCTACAGGGACACTGGTTTTATCAGTATTTGAACACTGACGGTTGCCAAGAGTTATTGACTGCTATTGGAACGGTTGACACACAAACATTGAAAAGTATCGACAGGAATTAAAGTTTAAACAAACATAGCTAAAAAAAATGCTACAACACTACTACATTTAATTATTTGAAGTTAAACATTAATTAATAAATAAAACAAGTTTAACAAACTTTGCCTCTAGGTATCTTGGCAAAACGTTTTAACAGAACTGAATAAGACAAATGTTGCCACAGTAAGCAAACGTATAAGTAAACAAACAATAACCTACCTATACCGAAAGACAAACAATAATATTTAAAGTGTTAGTGGACCTTTTTTGATTTGTTTTCAAACCTGTTTGTTTTATTATGCCGTCCTTATTGACAAAAAAAAAAAATATTTATCTGCATTTAAATACTTTGTTTTCTTAAAAAAACAAAACAATAAAAACAAGTCGTTTCAATGTGGGTTGCTACAGGAACATATTTATGTATTTTTGATTTCATTTTTGGAGTTTGTTTTTATATTAATGTTGTCTTTTGTATTGTTTTAATAAATCTTTTTCAAAAATAATCAGACCCTGAAATAATAACATCACTAAAAAGAAATAATGTGTGAAAGGACTTCATTGGTAAATTCACCATAACAAACATTTTCACAGCACTAAATCTCCAATCATGTGTCAAATACTCGCCGCAATTCTGCACCAGGTAATATCAATCAATTATACATTGATTTTTTTTTTTCAGACATACGCTGCCCTCAGTGGACACTTCCTGTAGATGCAACACATTTAACAGGAAACAGGTAGGTAACAGGAAATCACCTGTTTATTGAAACTGTTGACCCTTATAATTATAATGTGTCTGAAATTAACATGGAAAATGATCTGGTTCTGACTCATCATGTTGGGAATTATTTTTGTTTCTTTTTTGTATTAATATATTAATGTTGATTAAATATATTTGGGTTTTGAAAGGTTGGACAAACTGAGAAATTTGAAAGAAATCACCTTGAGATTTGGGAAGCGATGACACATTTTTTTGTTTAATTACAAACACAGGGGTTAGGGAATTATTTGTAAAATAGCTGTTTGAGTTATTCATCCATTAATAAATACTGAAATGTAGAGCTGTTTAGTCAGTTGAGAGATTATCATAATAGTTGACACTTGCTTTTTCTGTCCACTGACTAATCGGGTAATTATCACAGTAATTTTGAAGCAATAAGATAAACATTTCGTGGGTTAAGCTTCTGATTATAAACAGTAAAATCTTTTTTTAGAATCGTTGATTGGTAAAATATCTGATGTCATCACAAGTGTTTTACTGGAGGAGGTGGGGGTGATAGTAATGCTAAGCAGAAGCAGTTCAGCATTACTATTTGAGTTAAACTCTAAGTTTAACTTATCAGTGGTAATAAGACAGTAGCTATGTAGTAGCTAACTTAGAAAAGGAAAGCTGAAGTAGAAAAGTAGGAACTGAATGAATGAATGTTATTATTTACATCATGTTTCTCTGGGTGTTTCTGTGTTAATCAGAATCTTTGCTGCTTTTGGGTTGTTTTTTTTGTCATTCTTGCATCGTAAAATTCAAACACACCAGACCCACCAAACTTGTTTGGGTACCTAATATACCATTATGAATTTAGCACTACCACCATACTCAAGGACAACTACTAAAGATAAAGAAGGTAAATATAAGGGACCTTATAGCAACAGGATGTTGGTATCGGTCAGTACTGGCCTTGTTGACTGATATCTGTATATCGGCAAATAAGATGACATTTCCAGGTGTCAGTGGCTGACATTTATCTGTTTTGTAAGATTTGTTTGGCTCTGGATAAATATTCGAAAATTCAAAAAGAATTTCTTTGTTCCTTTGTTAAAAATGAGAAATAAAAAAACAAAAAAACAAATAGAATTTGTTGTTGGACAAACTTTCATTTTAAACCTCAGTATCAGGGTAAAATTTAACAAGCAGTGCATCCCTGGTTTGATACATTCAAAATCAAACTCGTCGAACAGAAGTAAACTCATATCATCCACCAGGTCACCAGTGAGCAACACCCTCACATGCAATTTGGCTTTTCAGTTCTGTTTTATGATTTTCATTTGGGCATATAAGCATCCACCACTTTTTAAATAGAATTTTATGTGGAACACCCAAATGGAAAAGAGAAACTGCAGTACCAAAATGTACTTCATTGGAATGCTAATGTCTAAGAACTTTGTTTCTGACGTTCTTAAAAGAAAACCCAAACCCTCTGGCAAACTTCCAGTGACCTTCTGGATATAAAAAAGTTAATATGTTTGTTGTTGTTTTTTTCTAAATTCACATTTAAAGGAGAGTAGCAGGCATCCTTCTCTCTCTTCCACTCTCTTTGCCCCTGTTAACCCCCCGCTGTAGCAGCAGTTGCCGGCACCTTGGCTGAGCATGATGTCCGGCTGTAGCAGTAACAGGTGCCTACATGTTGCCTGCTGGCATCGTGCCGCCACCACACTACAGCAGCCATCTTGGCAGCATGTTGGGTCCTCACGCCCAAGCTCGCAGGCTGTAATCTACCTAATCTCACAGCTGCCAGTCAGTTCAGAGTGGTCATACACACTGATAGTGACTCTTCCTGTACCGTGTGTGACGAAGAGTGAGAACAGTAATTGATTACATTTTTTTTTATTCAGTGAAGGTTCGTTTTGGATTCTTCTCAATTTGCCCCATGATATGGTCCTTTTTAAATACACACACACACACACACACTGTCTGGAGACTCCCTCCCCTTTAACGTCAAGCACATCAACTACACAGACCAGTCCTTTTTTTTTTCCTCACTCACTGCCACCCGCTACAGTCCTCCCCCCCTTCCCCCACCACCACACCACTGCCCCTCAAGCTTACTGTCACCCCTTGCCCCCACCCCCGTCTTCCGCACCTACACTCTCACACATACACACACGCACACACACACACGCCCTCCACCCTTTTTCTATTTCAGATGCAAAGCTGGGGCCGAGGCGAGACGTGCATATAGTCACAGCGGCAATCTCATCTATGTCCAATCTGTCATGCCACTGCCTTTCATTATTCTCCTGCGTGGGGGGAGAGATAACGCCGAGGCATATTTTATGGACAGTTGAGAGAGAGAGAGAGAGGGAGAGAGAGGGAGAGAAGAGAAAGAGAGACTGATAGGGAAATAAAGAGAGAGAAAGATGCCAATATGGTGGAGTAATGGTTGAGAGATATGAAGGGTCCTGCTTTGGCCAGCGAAGAAGTGTCACCCTGCCTCATTGGTATCTAGGTCAATGCAAGAGAGACAAGGAAAAAAAAGGAAGAAGAAGTAAATGAAGTGATGAAAATTATTGAAATGGAGGTTTGGTGCGGGGCGAAGGATGGAAGGATGAAGAGGGAGTGCCGGTCAGTGCCATCTCTTCTCCATTAAAAATGGACAGCCTGAGGGCCTCCAGGCAGGAAGAAAAGGGGAGGGGAAGGGGGGTAAATAGGCGGTAGCCATTCTTCATGGCCACTCGATGGCCCCATAAAATCAGGGCTCGTATGCATGCATGCATGCTGCTGTTGTTGAATATGGAGGAGTGAGGGAATGCGAAGGGGCCAGCAGATGAAGGAGGAGCGCGAGGGACGGGTGAGTGAAGGGATGGGTGAATGCACCGGGGTCAGGTATTCTCTTCTGTCACCCCTGTTGCTGGGTTGAGTGGCTGACTGGTTGTCTCTCTGCTCAGCACACTGGAATGATTGGGTCCTGGCCTGCAGAGAATGGGCTGGCCAGTTTTACATATATACATATATCATGGTCATTGTCATGCTGTGTGTGTGTGTGTGTGTGTGTGTGTGTGTGTGTGTGTGTGTGTGTGTGTGTGTGTGTGTGTCAATATGCAAATAAGATGCCTTTGATTTCGTGCACGTGTTAGTGTCCATGCATCCGTGTGTCGCCGCAGTCGTGCGGCATCCAGATGTCAGTGCAGCCTCACTCGATGTCTGTCATTGAGACAGTGGGGGTGGGGTTAAGGTGACCTGTTTTAAATATAGACAGTGTCACGACAACATGCCCGACTCGACTTATAAAACCCATTTGCATAATGTTCCTCCCTTATCCCTCGCTTTCTCCCTCAATTTTTTTCCTTCCTCCTGGGAGACAGGCAGAGCAGACGCATCGTGTTTTGCCTTTGTCTCGGCTGTTCAAATGCAAAAAGATGTCATGTCAAGGCTTTCTTCCGTGCACAACCTGCGTCGCACAATGAAGAATGGGACGAAATACAAACACAGAAGTAAGACAAAATAGGTTCCCTGTGTCATTACATCAAATGCAAAAGACTCACCATGGAAGCCTGTCAGTACAGTATGTCCCCGCTACATAACAACACAACTATAAACTAACTGACAAGACTGTAACTCAAATGACACCAATATTCACACATCTTTACACCTCTCCCTGCATATTTTGCTCTTCTTTCCCGGCTGCTGGAGGTGTTATTGCCTTGCTGTCTAACAAGCCGAGGCCTTTGAAAAGTATTTGGAAAAAAAGGTTAAAAAAGATGACACTGATGGGGCATTTTTAAACAGACCTCATAGACCTTGGACTTTGATTTCTGCTTAACTTTTGTAGCATACCTTGTCCTTCTCGAGCGGATGTGCGAGCAAGCCTTGTCAGTGTGCCCTTCAATTTGAATGCGTACTCCACTCTGGCAAACTAATTAATTATTCCCCTCTTCACCCTCCTTTATTCATCCATTTGTTTTTTTTTCCTCAATGAAGAATACATGCCACATTCCTTCAATACCTTTCCTTCTCTCAGACTCAGCGCCTATTCATTAGGAATTCAAATTAATCAGTATTTACTGTAGCGCTTGCCAGCTCTGCTCTCAAGTGCAATTTCTATCAACAAGGTTGAGTGGGCTTTTGTTTCTTATAGCCAATTGGAATAAAGCTCGCTCTTGCTTTGTCCCATTTTTTTAGATGTTCAATTGAACACATCAACTAGTTTGGCACATAAGACGGAATTGACATTCTCCCAGAATGCAATGCTACAAGGACTTTTCATCTGACATTCAATGAACTCTGAAATTAAGGCGCCGCAACAGTTCAAAAAGGAACCCAAGCTAATTGTCAGGCTTTTTTGGGCAGAGGGCTATCTATCAGTAGTACATGGCCACAACAAAAAAAAGTTGCAGTCTGCTTTAAAAAGTCATCTTTTGTTTCGATATTGCCAACTAAAGCAGTCTTTCAGCACTTTAGTAAATTAGCACTTTTGAACTCCGGTCCACTAGTTACTTTTATTTCCCCTATGAATACTGATGCCGAAGCATCGAGCAGTAGTATTCAGATCCAGCATGTCACCCATTGTCAGAGAAGTTCTGTATCACTGAGGGTGGCTAAGGCCAAGGCATTTAATCTGTGCAGTGTTAAAATCACATAGACATCAGTGAGAATTAGTCTTAATGTGTGGGCGTGCTTGAAAAACATCATCGTATGTTCTGTGTCATCAGACTCAACGAGTGTTAAGAGCTGATCCTTCCTGTGACAGCATTACACTCATGTGTACAGTATATTCAAAAAGTAATTGTGTGGCAAGAATCTGTTTCCTTCCCGGGGATTCTGTCAGTGTTGTTTAGTCAAAGCTGCTGGTGACGTCAGTTATGGCTTCACTGAGACAGTTCTGTCATCCTCGGTTTTTAAAGGGTCTGTATTTGACCTCAAACAATGATATGTATTAGTTTTTACTGCATAAACCCAGCCAAGAAATCTTCAATAATCTAATAATTTAATAAATATAAGCAGTGAGTGACAGTAAGAGTTTGTGGACAGAGAACAGCAAGTACTAAAACTGTCTGAAGTGGATGCTATTCTTTTCTCATTGTCTCCTTTCTTGGAGTTCAGGTCATCCACTAAATGGGATGTAGGTGGTTCGATCCCTGGCTGCTCTGGTGCCAAAGTATCCTTGGCCAAGTTTCTCTCCGATGTGTTCATCTGACTATGAATATGTGTGAATGGTAGATAGAGCGTTTGTATGAATGGGTGTGAATTGGTAAATAAGGCGTGTTGTATAAAGTGCTTTGAATGCTCCAGCAGAGTAGAAAGGCACTATATAAAAACCATTTATCAAACCAAGGAACACCATCACTATGAACTATGTGAACCAGGTCTACTTGTTCACATTTTGCCACTTACTAATTATTTTGTTGTACTTATGGAAAAATTTCGCAGCCAGCTCCCTAAATGGGGAACAAAATGTGTCAAGTGCTCTTGTTAAAACTTACTAATACTTTTAAACTGCCTGCAGAGGGATTTTTAGAACTGCTCTGTAGCTGACAAATGTTTTCATACAGTAGGCCACTTCCTTGTGATTGAAAGATGAAGAATTTAAAGTTAAAGAATTGTTTCCTTCTAGTGCTGCAAGCCCAGCTGTCAACATTAAAGTCACCGAAATAGAATGATCTGAATAACTGAGAATCCTCCTGGCCCACTGTTTAGCAGTCTCATCTCCTTCTCAGTGAGTTTGGTAAGTACACAAATGCAAATCATGGTAAAGTCTGCTTTACAAAAAACAGGATGCTTTGAAGCTAAAAAAAACAGTCATGTAGCACTCCAGTGCTTTCTTTTATCTAACTGAAATGTGAGGGGAGTAAAGGTGCTTGAGTACATGTTTATTTTATGGACAACTTCAGATCTACATACTAAATATTTATATTGCATACGTCCATGGATTGTATGTAATCATCTCTGTTTAATGCAACTCTTCAGAGAAATGAATGCAGTGGGTTTTGGTCAGTGGTTGTTGATCAATGGTCATGAGAATTTGCATAATTATGATTAAGGAACTGACCTCCCAGCCCATTGTTCCTTCAGTGGCCTGGTTTCAGTCAGTATGCCAATGTGCTGTTTATAAGATTGGGGAAACCTGCAGTCAGCTGAAGAAGTCACTTAGATGAGTGACGAAACGTTTCTCCCACAAAACGCTACGTCCAGATGAACAGAATCAACTTTTGGAGACCTTTAGGAGCTGCATTTATTTCATTAACCCACGAATTTTCACCTTGAAAAAAGTATGCTCATAAATAACATTTTTATGGCTTTGAGCCCTAAAATCTGAGATTATTTTTAATAATCCTGGCCAGTAGCACACCGGCCATATTGCTGATTAATGTATGAACTGTATTTATCTACATTTTTCCAAATGTCACTTTTAATCTGAGCCAAGGTTGTGATTATAGAGAAAGTTAAGGACTTCATTTGAAGTTATCAACGCCTGGTTGAAACTAGCCTTTTGGCCTTTGCAAGCTTTCCCTTTACCCAACTTCTTACTTAACAAGGCCAGGCTGAAAAATCCACAGATCTAATTGAATATTGATATGTGTGTGTATAGAGGCCCAGAGCGAGGCTTGCCCATGTTAAGCCATTCAGTGCATCCTCTTGATTGAAATTCCATTAGCTTGTTAGTAGAGGATAGTGGAGAGTCGGTGAATACTTAGCCTTGTTAGCCGAGGCGCAGGCTAAATGAGTGTGCACAGGGTCATTGTCCACTTAAAACTCACTCTGCAAACCGGCGGGCAGCTTGAATAATTCATGGAGCATGACCTGCGCTGACTGGGCTTTAAACGAGTGTAGCTTCTCTGTCTGTCTGTTTGGATAATATCTCCACTCTGGAGTTAATTAAGTTTTCATTTTTTTTTTATTTCAGCCAGCTGTGTGTACAGCGGTCAGAGACTTGTCCCTGTGGAGACACTGAAAGCCAAATGAAAAGCGAATGGAGAAAAAATGATTGCAATATAAAGTTATAAATGGAGCTTTTTCTTCTCCTATCTCATCATACAGGAAGCACATTAGCCCATTAATTAGAAGCCATTACCTGTCTCTGTTCAACAGGTTTCAGAAAACTGTTTATTCTATAGGAACTGGATGTTGCAACCTTTGAAACAAATAACAGTAAAGTTGAATGGCATTTGAGACCAAGCTCTGATAAAGCTTCTCATTCAGATAATCTTTTGCAAAAACCCTCCAAAATTTCAAGGCAGTTCATGAAAGGTTACTCATAAGTAGTTTTAGACTAAACATAAATCAAATGAATATGCCTAGATCAAAGAAACATCAAGTAGGAGAAAATAAGCAACATTCTACAAGTACAAGTACAAACGATGCAGTCTGTAGAAACCTGCAGTCCTATTGTCAGTTATAAGTCCTGTATAATAAAGCACCTCCGTGGAAGCCTCCATTCCCATAAATGAAACATTTCTCAGCTGTTTGTGTTTTTAGCCCTTGACACTGCACTTTAAAGGTCCTTTGGTATGCCACTTTTCTCCACTCAGAGGCGCTACATGCCACCAGGTAAGGCAGACAACTGCTTGGGGCTCCAGGCCATTGGGGGTACCCCTGAGGGCTGACATAACTTAAACTCCAGCAGTGGCAGTTTATAGTGACAGAAGAAAAGAAATGACCTTCTTTGGGGGGGTCCCACCTGACTCCAGTCACCCCTGTTGCAAATGGTGTGCATGTTTCTGCTTAAACAAACTTAATAAGAACAAAGAAAGAGTCAATAAAAATATAGAAGACTTGTTCTTTGGAGAAGAGAAGGAAGAAATAAAAGAGGTAAAAAGTAAAACACTGGTGAGGAGTTTTGTACAGAAATTCCACTATAGCCTTACTTTATTTCATTTATTGATGGACTGGTTGTTATATAGCGCTTTTCTACTCTAACTTAGCACTAAAAGTATTTATACAACTTGCCTCATTCATACCCATTCATACAAGCACTTCTTGACATGCTTTTTCCACGTACGTGCTTTTTATCTAACATTCAGACACCTCCTGAGCCACAGCCACCCTTAGCTATCTTGGCTAGCAGAGCAGCCTATTGTGTTGAGTCAAGGACACACTAGGATGCGAGGAGTTGACTGTTTAACAAAGCAACAAGTTCTCCAATTCTGACATATATCTATGTTTTTATTCCTTCAATTATGCACCAAAGTAGTGTCCTACAATGCAATGTGACTAGCGCTTCACTTTTTATCAAGATTCCTGCATGGCATCTAATGGAAACACTCCACTGAGAAGAGATGCCATGCCTTTTTATGACCAACTTTTTATTATTGAAATGGTGTGTTAAAACAAATATCTCAGAGCAGAACCAGACAAAAAGGCCCAAAGACAAAATGACAATGAATAATACAATAACTATATTATTAGTTATGCATTTTAGCATTCATTTATTTGTTGTGCTTCATAGAGGTTCTTACTGCACCCAAAATGTGTACGGCTAACCACCAGCAGCATTAACGCTAAAGAAAGAAAAATAACAGAAACTTCTGGCTTCCGGTTGAACAGCCATACACTGTACATTTACTGCTGTACATACATCTCTCTATGTCAGCATCGTCAGCAGTAGTTATCTAATAGTTAGTTAATAGTAGTTAGCTAATGACGAGCTTGGTTAAGGATTTATAATGTATTTATTTATAACTATTTATAATAGTCCACAAATTGAGTAGGGTGGAAGAATCTGTTTCATTAATGAAACAAATACTAAGCTGCTTGTATCCGCGTTCTCGTTCTTTTGGTCACTACTCACAGCTCGTGACCATAGGTGAGGGTAGGGACATAGATCGACCAGTAAACTGAGAGCTTCACTTTTACACTCAGCTCTCTCTTCACCACGATGGACCAGTACAGCGTTTGCATCACTGCAGCTGCAGCACCAACCTGTCTGTCGATCTCCCACTCCCTTCTCTCATCACATGATCTTATATCGTTGTGTTGGTGTTGTTCCCAGATCATCATAATAATTGTTGTTCCAGGATCAACATTGCAAGTGACCAATCGGAATGTTGTGACGTCATACTTTTGCGACTTCGGGAAAAACCGCCGTAAAACAGAAAACTGTACTTAAGCTGCGAGAAACCGTCTCTGTTCGCTGATCAACGGACCCTGACCCTAACCCTTTTAATAAACGGTAAGCAGAACTGATATTGTCCTTGCAACATTGTAATTTCATAAATGCACGAATGGCTTGGCGCACAAAAGAATAACGTCACAACAAAGTGATTGGTCACTTGCAATGTTGAACCTGGAACAACATTTTCATGATAATCTGGGAACAACACCAACATGACAATATCAGATCATCCTCTCTCATCACTCATGCACAAGACCCAGAGATACTTAAATTCCTCCACTTGGAGCAGGAACTCGTCCCTGACCCAGAGTGGACACTCCACCCTTTACCGGCTGAGGACCATGGGCTCAGATTTGGATGCTGATTCTCATTCTTACTCGGCTGCAAACCGTTCTAGTACAAACTGGAAGCCACCACCTGATGAAGCCAACAGAGCCACATCATCTGCAAAAAGCAGAGATGAGATTCTGAAACCACCCAAGTGGTTTCAAAGCCTTCTGCCACTTGGCTACACCTAGAAATTCCATCCATAAAAATTCCGAACAGAATTGGTGACAAAGTAAATCCCTTTTTTCCTTTTTTTGTCATTGTCAAGTCATTGTTTTCCATTTTGTTCCAGTGGAAAGACCAGGCCCTTTATTTGGGAACCTACTAAAAAAGTACGTTTTACCAGAATGACTGCATAGACACGTACACACAAACACTGTTCAAACAAGTAACACTTATATGGCAATTTAACCATACAACAACAAAATCATTAATGAATAGCTGAATTCATTAAAGTTATTGCCCAGATTTTAAAATACTATGATGAAGGCTAAAGCAAGGCCTGCACACCACTGATCACCAGTGATGACTGAAAGAATACTTGGGAGAACAGGGAGTCACAAAATTTTGGCGTCAGAAACCGTAGTTGGTCTTCACCGGCTGACTTCACAGCTAAAGGTTCTGATGTGTTGTCACATGATGTGATTGGTTTAGAAACTGTCTCAAAAACATGAAGCATGCTTGGCAGGGTAGGCCTCACACATCAGCTTTACACACAAAACGGCACAGCAGTTCAGTGAGGAAACTTTAATTACTTTTCACATGACAAACACCACACATGCCACATGAAAGCAAGAACTGAATGTTGGGTTTTTAGAACCTGAACAACAGCTGAAATTGGAGTTTTTGAATGCCAGGAAGATGAAGAAAAACAGTAAGCAGCAGGCCTAAGTATACCACATTGACCTTCTAACGGGCATTTAAAAAAAAAAAAAATAGCTGCAACTTTTTCAAACTTCAGTAAGTCAGAAGAATATTTTAGCTTGCTTAGAAACCTCCAAGGACAAGGCCTAAAAACTTAAGGCGTTGTGCTAGGACCGCCTCTCTTCTGTCACTGCCTTGCGCCTCACACTGGCATTGTGCAAACTCAGCTCCTTTTACCTGAAAGTCTTCCAGAGTTGCATCATCTCTTTCAGGAGTAACACATCCTCCTCCTGGAGCCTTTTTACAGCCATCACCTTATCAAAGACCTTCTTTTTGAAGAGAATACCAACCATGCTCTAAATTAAAAGAACACAGGACACTTATTACTTGCTATTAAATCATCTTCAGGGATAGTGCACTTAACTAAAACAAAACTAATGCAAAGCACACAAGGCCAACTGCTATATGAAAACATAAATGTCACCTCCAGTGTCCCAACTTTGTCTCCTCCTGCTACCATGGCAACATGTTCATTTAGTACGGTAGTTTGGCACCAAAATGTCTTCTTCTGGTGTTTTAAGGAAAACACACCCTCACCACACTAGTGTATCTGTTTTATTGTGAGGGCACTAGACTTGGTGCTTGACAAAAGTGCTTTGTTTTCATCTGTCCTGACTTCCTGATTCTATAAAAACAAATGAATTACATTAATGATGTGTTTAACACTTTAACTTTATGGAAACGAACATCTGAGCCCAGCCCTGAATGTCACGAACCAGCTGATGTGTCTGTGTGGCATCAAGTGACAGCTCCGAGGACTTTAATTCTCTCTCACACCTTTTCTACATTGTGAACATGTGAAATTTAAACATGTGCATTACCAAAATTGTCATTTTTCTTCTGTAAGTCTGGTTGTGTCTGTTCAGAGAACTTTTATGAAGTGTGCTGCACATGGTGCGCTCTTCTAATTTGTTCCATCCCATACACCGTAACATGAGCATGTCTGTGCACACTATGAGACAAAGCAAAATGTTACATCCCTTTAATAAACACATCCACAAAAATAAAGACCTGCTATAATCACATCTGGTCATCTAACTATGTACAGGAAAATTTGTAGTGACAGAGCATAACAATGACAAATGCAGTTATCAGTGTCACAGTAAACAGCCCACTGACCTGATCTGGAAGTGAATGTGGTTGTGATAGCACCAGGTGGAACCTGCTCTGGTTTGCACCCAGTTACCTGATCTAAAAACAAAATGAATCCATGCATCTGAATGAGTAATTATATGATTATGATAAACTGGTGATGATCACAGACAAACAAAAACAAAGAAATTTACCTTTCATTTAAGACCGTGTTCCTAAGATAAACTGAATATGGTAATTAAATACATAAAGTAAGTTATAACACCCACTCTTGTTAAAGCAATAGTGTTTTTGACATCTAGCCACTGACATGATTGTCAAAAGGGAGATATAAACCGAGCAAGAGAATGGCTGCTCCTTACACAGCTTCTACACTTCATTAGTGCAAATAACCCAAAAGGATGTGAAAAGATTCACTAAACCTTTAAAATCATCTTACACACACACACACACACACTCACACACACACACACACACACACACACACACACACACACACACACACACACACACACAAATACAAGAATGCCCTGAAAACAAGAAGAACTCATCTCTTAATATTCAAACCAACCTCTGTTGTGGTCACTGGTCAAGGGTCATATGCCACTGCCACTTTTGCAAAGCTACTGACATGGCCAAGACACAGGAGCTAGTGTGCATTCAATAAAGCTGTGCCCAGGTAGCCTCCAGTATATTTGGTGTAGCATGCCATCTACACACAGAAAATGTGTGTTTGTGTCTGTGTAGTAGATTGCAGAAGAATAGAACAGAGATTTTTGGGGTCACTTTTAAAGACGATTTACCTTGTAGATTGTAATAAGGTGTCTTATGATGACTGGCACAGTAAAAGAACCATTAAATACAATTTCATAACTGGGGTGCACTGGAAATCTAAACTAAAAAACTTATGAATAGTCCTAAAAGGGAATAGTTGGCATTTTTCAGTGACCTTTGAATTTAAGCTTAATAAAGTTTACTCAATAAAAAAAACCATCAAGTTTGCCAGAGTTTCTGCTTTACTTCTCAGGAAGTTTTGTTGTATAACTATTGCTGCCTCAGTTCACATATACAGTCTCGATTTTTTAAAGATGTCTTCAAAAATTCATTTGGTGATCTTTGTTTTCTAGCATAAACAGAATCATACTTTATTTGACCCACAGTGACCAAAACAGAGGTCTGTGCCAGAGAAACATGTTATTCACAGACTAGAAGTCACCGAATTTGAAATCGTCGGTCTTGAAAGTGCTTGCACACATGAGGCTCTTTCTTTAAGGAGGACAGTCTGTAGTAGTATAGCTTAGAAGGCTGAATGCCAAAATGATTTCAAAAAGGTTTCTGTATTGCTTTCGGCAGTGGCAAGTGCATGCTACACATACATTGCACATACAGAAAGCACTTCTCTGATTATGTGAGCAATGCTTGATTATAGGACTGACAGCATCCAGTAGGAAAACTGTTATATTTTGCTTATCTCTGCTTGCAGGTGAATGCAGTATTTAGCAAGCAGATAAACACGTGATTCTTGATGGAGACCAATAAAATCAATAAATGGACACCAAATATTGGCCTTGTGAGCATCGGGCATAAAAAAGCAGACCCACATGAAGATGATATGATCAAAAACAAAACACTAATACTCTTGTGAAAAGCACACTCTTACATTAATAGTTTAGCAGTTTGAATGACTCCTCTCTATATCTGCATATTTTCCTCCACCGTTTATGTTCCGTTTCTCTACAACTCTGCATGGTTATTTCTGTTACACACTCAATATGCTCGTTTACTAAATTTGCTTACTGCTCTCTATTTATCTTGTTTATATGCTGTCGGCTGTTGCAGTTACACAATATTAATCATCAGTCATCTAAGTTCCAAGTGAAACAACATACAGTATATCATCACCGGCCACTGGCAATGTACCTCTTAAATTTTACTGCCAGTGCCAGGTTGTTGTATCATTAATCAGTAACATTCACTGTAATGTCATTGCCCCTCACACTCAGTATGAAAGTGGTGTTATCAAAAAGAAAAAAAAGAAAAAAGAAACAGAAAAAAGACTTAATGGCTTTTTTTGGCATCTGCTTCTTGCCTTCATACCTCCCTCACTTGATTTGCTGCAGTTTCTCCGACATATCTGTAAATGCTATTAATGTAACAGGTGACTATTCATGATGGTGAGAGCAGCTTTGTGATTACTCTCAATTTACTGCTTGTGACTTGAAAGAATAAATATTATAAGCTACATTTCTGACAAGCAAAGAATAACACAACTGTCATGCAGCAGCCTGCATCCATTGTGTTACAACACATTGGTCTCCATTCATTTATGTCAATGTTTAATTAATACTGAGTGGCTAATATAACATGCCACAGAATTGTAGTCAATGCCTCTTAACATGTAATTTCTCACCGTGCGTTTTCTTCTTTTCATTTTCAGTTACAGAACTCTGAGTACACATTCTTAGTACTTTTATTAAGATAGTGTTCGACTCTTTAAGGAGGACTGTAATTTGGTTTGTGCTTATAAAGAGCTCAAGAGGAGCTCATAAAAGTGGC